AAAGACAAGATCATTGGGGATCACTTGAAGTCCACATCATCAAAGGGAAACAATGGCACAGGGAAGAGTGTTCATCTACCTCTATCATACTGTAATATATAAAAACAGCTGCTTCAGCTACTCAGATTCAAGCAGGGCAAGCTATATTTTAACAACAAAGACCCATAGAATTTGCTCTTAATTACCCAATTATTTTATTTTATTTATTTTTATTTATTTAGAAAATTTATATTGCCACCTACTTGCACATGGAGATTCAAGGCGGCTGACAAGGATATAAAAACAGTGTACAAAAGAAATAATAAGAAAAAAAAAGAAAATAATAACCCCCCAACCCCCACCCAATTTTTCTGGGGAAGGGAGGATTGTTCTGATTTAGCTATATCCTCCGGTTTAAAAAGCTTTCTCCTAAAGAATTGCAATCTTTTTCTTTTTCTTTTTTTTTTATTTATTTACAAAAAAATTCCCCCCAAAAGTTACTGTGTTATGAGAGCCAGTTTGGGGTATTGAATTGACTAAGGCACCAGGTTTGAAACCAGGAATCTGTGAATTCTAGTTCTACCTTGGACATAAAGCTATCTCACAGCCCTAGGAACCAGGTATTGACAATCTAATTCCAAAATCTTGCTGAGAAAAACTGTAGGGACTGCTCCACGCAGTTGCCAGGAGTCAAGGCTGACTTGGAGGTGCACACACACACAAAGCTGCATATAGTTTGGCCACCCCTGTTACAGAGGTGGGTTTCAGCAGGTTCTAACCAGTTCTGGAGAACCAGTAGCGGAAATTTTGAGTAGTTTGGAGAACCGGTAGTAAAAACTCTGACTGGCCCCACCCCCATCTATTCTCTGCCTCCCGAGTCCCAGCTGATCAGGAGGAAATGGGGATTTTGCAGTAACCTTCCCTTGCCATGCCCACCAAGCCACACCCACCAAGCCACGCCGACAGAACCGGTAGTAAAATTTTTTGAAACCCATCACTGCCGTTAGTCTCTTATTCTCAGTGGTCTCTAATGGCGGATTAGGCAGTATCCCTACCAGAGAAATTCAAGCATTCATACTGTAAGTAATTCTGACATCCTTAACCTACAAAGAAACACCATCTACAGCTTGTCTGTCAGAATCAGACCAAAATTTGAAATGGCCCCCTGAACTTATAAAAAGGCCTTTTGGTTAGAGAGAAGAATATATTTACCCCTTTTCTCTTTAAATGTTTTCCCCTTTCCCCCCCTTTATTTATGCCAACTGCTCAAAGAGGTTTGAGAATTGGGCAGCCTTACAAATCTAATACAGTTAGTCCTCGACTTACAACAATTGAGCCCAAAATTTCTATTGTTAAGCAAGACAATTGTTAAGTGAATTTTGCCCCATTTTATGACCTTGCTTGCCACAGTTGTTAAGTGAATCACTGCAGATGTTAAGTTAGTAACATGGTTGTTAACGGAATCTGGCTTCCCCATTGACTTTGCTTGTCAGAAGGCTGCAAAAGTTGATCACCTGACCCTGGGACACTGCAAACATCATAAATATGAACCAGTTGCCAAGCATCTGAATTTTGAACATGGGGATGCTGCAACAGTCATAAATGTGAAAAACGGTCATAAGTCACCTTTTTAGAGCTGTTGCATCTTTGAATGGTCACTAAATGAACTGTTGTAAATCGAAACCACCTGCAAATCAATCAGGGGAGCACTCATCTTTTCTAGTTTAGGCACTGCCATTGCATGTTCAATTTGTCATATCATCCCACCACCCATCCACTCACCTTTTTAGGGCCTTTGCCCATTGCCATTACCCATCTATCACTATAATGGCATGAAATTTGCTGTCTCCACTGCCAGGTCTTGTCCAGGTTCTATTGCATCTGTTTCAAGCCATTACCAAAAAACTTACAAAGTAAATGTCATGCTTAGAACCATTGACGAGCCAAGAATAAAGCACCATAGTCCCCTGATGTATCTGTAATAAAAAGTCTGGTCCCAACACCCTCCCCAAAATGATATTGTAGGGATGGAAATGTTACAAAAATGGACAAGCAAAATAATTAGCAAATAAAGCAGCTTCTCTTCATATGAGATGATTATAACATCAATGCAGGAGCCTGAAAAAAGATGCTACTCTGTAAGTAGATCCACTGTTAAAGTTAGTAGGATTCTTAAAGCAGCTGTCATTTTTATTCAGGATCCCTTGGACAGCTCAAAAAAAATGACCTGCTGATGAATTTTAGAAAAATATTGTGTTTGCAGAAGTTCCAGATTGCTTCTTCTGAAAAAAAGTTTTAAGAATGTTCAATCTTAATGCGGTTGCCTGAGCTATTGTTAAATAAATGGCATTTGCAAATTATCTATGTGAAATCACAGTGTTCATAACAGGAATTGCTTAGTTCTCTTCACTCCGGATAATTTTTTGTATTAACATACACAATTTGGCAACCAATTCTTTCCCCTTCTGGAAACTTCTCCACATTCACTTAAAACAGACTTAGAGAATATACAAATGATCTCTATTTTGAAACAGGTGATCTTCCCCAATTCACTTTCTCAGAAAAAAATATTAATTTCACTCTTCCCTAAAACACAGGAAATAGGGGGCGTTCTGCTGAAATAACTGAAAATGGTACTGAAATAACATCTTTTTTTCCCCATACAGCAAATTGCTTTGTGGGTTATAAAAACCTTCCTTTACAGTATTATTTAGCATTTTAGCTCTTGTTTATGACACTATCTATATTTTATAAAATGCCCGTCAGAAGCAGCAGGGAGCATAACTTGCTGCAATCTTTTTTTATTATTATTATTTCTTCCTTGAAAAGTATCAATAAGTATGAAAGCAGACATATGATGATGATTAAAAAATATACAGCAGTAGCTCAATCAAGACAGGTTTCTCTACATTTCACAAATTACAACTGTGGCTGGATTAATTTTGGGCTCAATTGTGGTACATTAGTAAGTCACGGATTACCTGTAACTTGTGTGAATTAGTAGGACCTTAAACCATCATATTCCATGTACTGAGTGCATACACATTATAGATACAGACATCTGAATCTGAAAAGTTCCTGCTATTGGATTCATTGAGCAAAGCAGTCCTTAAGGAATATGAAGGCTAATATAGGTAATCCTCAATTTACAACCAGAATGGAGCCCAACATTTCTGTTCTTAAGTAAGACATTTGTTAAGTGAGTTGTGCCCCATTTTATGACCTTTCTTGCCAGTGATTCACTGGAGTTGATAAGTTAGAAACCCGATTGTTAAGTGAATCTGGTTTCCCCATTGACTTTGCTTGTCAGAAGGTCTCAAAGGAGATCACATGACCTTGGGACACTACAATGGTCATGCTGTAAATATGAACCAGTTGCCAAGCATCTAAATTTCGACATGTTTATGGAGATGCTGCAAATTTCGTAACTGTTGAGTGAAAGTTCAACATAAGTCACTTAAATGAACTGTTTAAGTCAAGGACTACTTGTACCTATCACATGCCCACATGCAAGAACATTGTATCAAGCCATTCAGAGTCTGTCCTGTTGAATAAGGACCAGATTCTTAATTTGCTTCCTTATAATCTCATCTTTATAGCCTTAGAAAAATTCCAAACATTTTGGTATACACTGACATTTGTCTTCAACACTGAGTTAACTGAAAGCCCACACCTGCTCAGTGTTTTCTGCAGTTCTCTTTTTTTGTCTCTTGTGTGGTTTTTCTCAGGGTAGTTTCACAAATAACATTTGCATCACTCCCAGATTAGCTCCATCAGGTCCTGTACCTCATCTACATTAGAAAACTGATGCCAATTCTGGGTTTTTTGATTCTGGTTCAACTGTGGTGCATCAGAACTTGCTTCAACTTTCCACTTGAAATGCTGGAATTCCATAGAGTTTGGAGTGGCCCATTTTCCCATTAACAAGAACACTTCTTCTGGACTTTCCACCCCGGACTTCCAGTTTTTAGCATTTTTTTTCTTAACTGAACAGGGAGCAAGGAGCAATTTGTCAGCTTCCCCCACAACATTTTTTAAAAATAAATGTAACGAAGGAAGGAGGTATTGATCCTCTCCAGTTGGTAAACTGGCACCATTTAAAAGCTTCTCATATTATGAAAAAATATAGGTAAGCTTTAAACTGTTCAAGAGTTTGGTGGGTGAAGACAAGATCATATGGAAGAGATCTCAATCTTCCTGAGGTTATGAGCTGAATCCTACTTACTGTCATAGAAGAACCAGGGGTGGGCTTCAGAAATGTTAGCAAATGTTAGCAATGTCTGCCCGGTTGCTGGGTGGGCGTGGCCACAGCCTCTTGCACCATGGCGTGGGGGGCTGCAGAGGCTTTTCTTGAGCCTCCGGGAGGGCAAAAATGGCCTCCCAAGGCTCCAGAGGCCTTTTATATTATAAAATAATATAGGTTGCAAATGTACATGAGCAAACAGTTGAAGCAAGTCAGTGACCAGTAATTCTAGGTAATTTTAGATGTAAATATAACTGGAGTGTGTGTCAAATCTGGTTTCAGCAGACAAACTGACTTGGACAACCTGCAGCTAGTAGACAGAAGAATATGGCCTTGAAATTTGTTGAGGATCTTTCAATAGCTTTTGATACAATGGCTTTAGCATTAGCTCGAACAAGCTGCAAAACGGACAAATTATGTTTTCATAGCTCCTGGTGATAATTCTAGGAGACTCTTATTTAATATTAAGCCCTGCCTTTTATTTCATATATTTTTCAACGCAGTTTTAAATTACTTTGATCACCTAATGTTTATGGCAGAAGTTGAATTCTACAGATGAGGGACCATCAGCCTGTTTTTTTCATGTTCAAATGTGCAAACACTCTCATATCTAATCTAGCATGATACGCTACTCTTGTTAAGCAACTATGACCCTGGCATTTTCTCTCTGTAGTGGTTTGTTGTGTTATTCTTCTACATTTGATATACAATCTCGGATAAAAATGTGCATTTGAAGATTTTAAGGTCAATTGGTAGCATTGATTTTGTTTACTTTTACCTAAAGGGAGTCTTCCTTTCAGCCTTCTTGAATTCAGGGTAGCTTTCTCATTCTTACTGAGTGAAGGGCCTATCACAAGCACTTCATCTGTCCTCTCAGCAAATGCATGGAACCTGAAGTGTAAACAATATTAATTTGTAATCATAGGATATAAATATACATCTGGAACCACAGTGTAACCTCCTTTAGGAGGAAAAGTGTTAAAAATAAAACAATACTGTACTGTTGCTGCTGTAGTCATTCTAGACGACCTTGGATTTTTCCTTCTTCCACCCTGCCTACCTCACATAGTTTTTATAATTGAAGGGACTGAGAACAATCTATTCCAATTTAAGCTCCTTGAGAAGATAAAAACGTAATTTAAATTTCAAAGCAGCTGGAAAACAGACATGGGCAATATGATATCCTCCTGACTTTATCAGCTAGTTAAAAAAATCTGTTCTGAAACATCATTTAGAAGAAGGTGCCAAAACAACAGCCATTCAAGAAATCAAGTTATATAACAAAATATTTTCTGCAATATTCATTTTTTATCTTGTACACATTAATCAGGGCATTTGTCATGGTATTTAACATAACATTTCTGATTTTTTTTTTAAAGGACCATGACTTGTTCATTGACATAAACTTTCCAACTATAGAACTACACATTCAGTCAGCTGCTACATTTCTCCACTAGACTATAGATTTACAACCAGTATTTTTTTTTTAATTAGCACCAACACTACTGGCCTTCCAGGAATCTTTCAAGAAGTGAGTTTCAAGCCAGGCCTGGGGATCCCTTGAAAACAGGCAACCTGCAAGACGGCTTTATGAGATACGAGTTTTTAAACCCGTATATATGTGTTTATTTTTGATAGTTATTTTAAAATGTGCATTTCTGGTTTTTTTATGCTACACTGCCCAGAGTTACATCCATAAAATGGATAGCTATATACATTTAATAAATAACTTTTTTCCCCCAGTACCTCAGTACCTCAATCTCTCTGGCCATCATGCCTTGAAAATCTGGGAAGTGCAGCTCAGCACATGCAAAGGAACTGACTGGAAAAGATATTCTAAGTGTTTTTATCTGGAAAGATGATAGATATGCCTTCAGAACACCAGACTGATATAACCATTTTGATTATTCCAGTATGTTTAGCTATTGCTTCAATAAAAAGCTAAATAAAGGTTCAGCTTTCACCATTGTTGCCTCTTGGAAATGACTACCAAGGCATTCCTTGCCATAATTATTTTTTATCTATGGCTGGTTTCACACATCATGCTAAGCCATCATGAAGTTTATTGGATGTTAGCTTAATGCAGTATGTGGACTTAGTCAATTGCTTGCGATCTGTATTTTCTTCAGTCAGCCAATATGGCTTTTCAACCAACCCTGGCATCAGCTTTGTCACTAAGATAGGAGAAATGACTGCTACTCCAAGGATTTGTATATTCTAGCTTTTTCCACCATGGAGATATGTTTGACTAAAGCTCCCATCATCCCAAAATAACATGAAGAATGTGGTCTAATCTAGCTAGAAAGCACCAGTGTAAGCAACTACAGAGGGACATCTTATAATTGGGATTTATAGAGCTGACAATGTTAGATATCCCATTTACTTCATACCTGCCGGTGGTTAGCTGACTCAGATCCTTTAAGAAAGCAACTGTTTCTTCTTCTCTAGCGTTGAAAGATATGGTATGGATTGGACATAAACTTCTTGAGATCTTCTGTACGAGCAAGTACTTTGCGCATTCTGGTATATCACCCACGACAAAATAGTATACGGCTTCTGTCTGAAGTGCACAAGTCATTCAACAAAAAGAGTTACAGACCTTTAGGTCAAAGACCTGGACAACATGATCAATATGCAAAGCAGAGCTATACCTTTCTATTTTTGACTGACATAATTGCTAAAACGATAGAAATGCCCATAGCATGCAGAATAGTCAGAAAAAGGTAAGATATACAGCAGTCTTCACATTACCAATATGGGCCTTCATGCTCAATTCACATGTGGACTTGTACAGTACACATTTTGAATAGTGTCAAATGTCATCCTTGTGTGTCACCAAGGCCACAATTAAGTTGGGTGCCCTGATAAATTTATCACACTTTTCCTTTAAAAATGAAAAAAGAAAGTGTATAGACTTAAGAAATGGGATTCTGGTGCATCGTTATTTGACTAAAAGAAGCAGAAGTGTGAAAAAATATTTAGTTCTAACTGGATTGTCTTGTGGCAGAACTACTAATTTTATAACCTGTATCCATATACGGTTCTAGAAATACATTTTCTTGAAAGGGTTATTATTGAGAGGGTTGGACATACTACAGCAAACTGCAGGTAAGGGCTCATAGGACTGAATTACTACATGTTAAAACTATGTAATAACAATTTAAAAAATGGGTTCCAGCATTCTAAATTCAGATAACTAGTGAATTGTGTCCCAAAACAATACATTCCTAGGACATCTATTGTCAGGAAGAAATAGGCTTAGGAACAAATTGTTTTTTGATAGCTAAAATCAGTTTTACGAGGACAAAGTTACATGGAACAAAGTTAACATTTTTAATGAAAGGATGAAGAATGACTATTCTATGGCCATGCTCTTATGTGAGCAGTTTGAAGATTTTATCACCTGAAAGAATTAGGATTAATCTAGGATTGGCTAGATTCGGTTGCACAAATTAAGAGCTTCTGATACCTGCATGACATCAATATTACACACAAGGACCTGCACAAACCATTTGAAGAGAAATTTTGCCAAGCAACTGAAAGATTTCCTTTGAAGTCATTGTTTGAAGCCTCAAGGTAGACACTCTGAGGTAGAAGTCCTAGTGAAAGTGTTTATGGGCATCTGTGGAGGTCTGCAAAGGAGCTTGAAGTGGTTTTTCTGAGTTTTTGGGGCCTGCATCTATTTCATTGCTCAAGTGGCAACTTCAGAAGGTGACTTTAATCACTTCACAAAGCACCACTACTGATGTTTTATCAATTGTTTTTAATAAAAGTAAGTTTTTTTTTTTTAAATAGTTATTTCTTACTCCATAAAATGGATTGTCTTTTTATCAATTTCCTCAGTTTGGTGCCCTCCAGAAGAGTTTGGTGACAAATTCCATCACCACAGACAATGCCAGGAATTGTATGCTATGCCTATAAAGTTGCACATTCATAACAACACGTTTTGCAAGTGACTGGGTTCTAAGCTCTAGACACAGTGATAATTTGTCCATGTTCTATCTCAGAAACCATTTTCATTGACTGATGTGGAGCCCACTGCCTATATCAGAAGAGTCATGTCATGTGGCTCTTTTTAAAGTAAGTTTTCCCCCAGATGCCTGTTGTTCTGCGGTTTGTTTGTTTTTAATTGTTTTCATATTGTGTGCCATCAAGGCCACAATGAACTTGGATGACCTGATAAATTTAATAAATAAATAAAGCTTCCATTTTCCAGAAATGGGAACTGTTTAAATTTTTCCCTTATGCTGTGTTATCAGAATGATTTACAATATCTGGACTTGCTGTGTTTATATTTCTGTAACAGAAGTGCAGAAAGCTATTTTCTATTTGAGGTTGGATATAGTCTCCACAAAAACATCTCCCTGTCTGTAATATAGTTTTGTGTGATCCTCAGCTTTAATTTAAGTCCTGACTTTTTTGTATCAGCAATTTATGGCTTACACATCCACGGATGGACAAGGAGGGCTAAATAAGAAAACATGAGTCACAATGCTGTGATGCAAACACCAGCCCTTGCATACTTGTATGCAATGTTATGACTCAAACATGTACTTGCCTCATGACATTACAATGCATCCTTTCTGATTTTGGCTTCATTGGGTTTAGGAATGGATGCCAGTGTTCAATGAATTAAACTTCATTAACGCCACTGGTGCTGAATCTGTAGCCTCCATACTTAACAGGGAAGAGGGCTGCTTTATTTTACTAGGATATACACTATAAACAACGTTCTGTGCGCCTTTGGTATTTAGTCATGCCGGCCACATGACCACGGACACGTCTTCGGACAGCGCTGGCTCTTCGACTATGAAACAGAAATGAGCACTGCCCCCTAGAGTCGGGAACAACTAGCACATATGTGCAAGGGGAACCTTTACCTTTACCTTACAAAAGATTTCTGTCTTAACAAATACAGTTCAGAGATGTCTGCTTCAGATGCACCTGACTACCTTCAAATGACTAAGGCATGATCAGCATTCAATACTTTGAATGGATATACTGTGTGGCATACTCACACTTCTCTGTACATTTGAACAATTAGTCGGGAAATTTCTAATTAATTGTTTCCAAACAAGCCAGTACAGTGTGGCTTTTTTTTGGTGTGTGTGTTAAGGAGACAACTAGGAGACCCTATTGCACTTTCAATATTTCTGCATAAATATGACCTAAAACATGATCTGTTCTTCCCACAATCCCTAAAACAACATAAAGAGAACCCAATTAAATATAGAAAATTTAGGTGCTTTCACCAACTTCTAAGTACCACTCTATATTTAATTAGACTTTCTAATTGATGTTCCTATGAAAGGCTGCATGCACTGGAAAAATGCTCATGTATATTTCCACCTAATATACCAAAAGGGATCATTCCAACTAGGGCTATATATTTCAAAGCTCTTTGGTGTCATGGAAATATTTCTCTGCCCTTGTTCCAAGGGGAATTAGAAAGAAAGCTTCTGCCTTCGGAATAGGACACTGTCATGTACATCTGTTATTGGTAAACTTCAGCCTGCAGAACAACTTGAAAGAAATTCCTTCTAAATAAGCCCCATATTCTTTTATTAGTACTTGGGCCCCTCATAATTCATTCCTGCAGTACTTGCAGTTAAATCTCATTGGGGTATCCTTAGTCCTAACTGAACATTTCTGGAAATAGATTACCGTATGATCAAACAGTGCCTCCAAGATTGCTTCTGTAGATCCAGTGTGACAAACAGCTGGTAGGTATTCCAGTGTCCAGAGCCACTCAGTGGCATCTTCTATAGAGTTCTTGGTAGCAAAAACAGGTTTCTCTTGCCATGGCACAAGATCCTGAGCCACCCTGCAAAGGAAGTAACTAAAATATTTGGAGGAAATGCTACATTATCCTCTTTCAAGGACCAAGAGGAAGCATATATATATATATATATATATATACGCTTGGGAAGCCTGGGAATTCCTAAGACCAGAACGCAGAGAGATATTCTCTGATGTCTAGACAGATACATGATCAGGGTGCCAAATGTCCAGGACATATCATAAGCCACTCAGAGTTGCACATTAGTGACAAAATTCTGCTCATTCACATGGTCTGGCACCTGTCTTTGAGAAAGCACTGTACAAATGAAGGAGGCAATAATCTAACTTTTGGGAGCTGACCCCACTCCAGCTTGTTTTCTTGATCACTTTCCCATTACAAGTAAAGCTCACCTCTATTACGTCTAACAGACAAGAAATTCTTCTCGTCTCAGAAATAGTTTAAAAGATATGCAAAAATGTACAATACTTCCCCTTAGTTATTTATATTTTATATGTCTTTCCAAATAGCTTGTTGCCATTTAAAGAGCAGTGGTAAAAAAAATAGTATATCTCACTAATAAAATATACTGTAGATAACTTACCGGATTAAGTTAAATTTCTCAATTTGGGTGACTTGCTGCTTTAAGACCATAGAAAGTGCTTCTCGACAGAGATTGAACTCACTTAAAGAAGCAGTTCCAAAATCCAGAACAATGGAGATATTCTGTTCCTGTATTACTCCAAAGACCTGTCGACTTTCAGAAGTTAACCAGTCCATTCTTTGTTTGTATAGTTCAATCATTCCAGTTAGACGATTTGCAAAATTAAGAAGAAGACTCTTTTTGGCTGTCAACTGTATTTAAATAAAGAGAGAATACTAAATTTCAAGATAGTGACCAGAAAACCTGAGAAAAATTCTTTCTTTCTTTCTTTCTTTCTTTCTTTCTTTCTTTTTCTTTTCTTTCTTTCTTTTTTTCTTTCCTTCCTTCCTTCCTTCCCCCCAATCTCTCTCCCTTCCTTCCTCCCAACAGATCAACATGGCTTATTATATTCTGTGTTTGCTGAAGACATATTATTTCAAGCACAGTCATCTTTTGAATTTATTTAATTGAAAGAACATTTGATTTAGAAAGGAATACTGGAACAGTATTATCTGCTGAATAATTGTACACAGGATCTAACTAATGCTGGTCAGAATGTTGTCAAAGAGGAATTGGCATCAGTAATTCATATCTCCGAATGCTCTTCAAGGCTCTCCTTGGAGGCTCCAACTGGTCCAGAATGTGGCCGCGCGGGTGATTATGGGCGCACCTCGTTACGCCCATATAACACCTCTCCTGCGCGAGCTGCACTGGCTCCCAGTGGTCTTCCGAGTGCAATTCAAGGTGTTGGTTACACCTTTAAAGCGTTCCATGGCATAGGACCAGGATAGCTACGGGACCGCCTTCTGCCACCAACAGCCTCCCAACAACCAGTTCGCTCCCACAGAGAGGGACTCCTCAGGGTGCCGTCAGCCAAGTTATGCCAGCTGGCGACACTCAGGAGGAGAGCCTTCTCTGTCGGAGCCCCTGCCCTTTGGAATGATTTACCCCCGGATATTCATAACATCTCTGATCTCCGGGTCTTTCGCTGTGGCCTCAAGACCCTACTGTTCCGACAGGCGGGGCTGTCTAATTGAATGATTTTAAATTGGGTTTTAACTTTGGGTTTTAAAATTCGGCCAAAACTATTTAATGATTTTAATTAATTTTAACTATGATATTGTATATTTATGTTTTAATTTTGGCTGTACACCGTCCCGAGTCCTTCGGGAGGAGAGCGGTATATAAATAAAATTATAATTATAATTATAATTATAATTATAATTATAATTATAATTATTATTATTATTATTATTATTATTATTATTATTATTATTATTATTATTATTATTATTATTATTATTATTATTATTATTATTTCCATACCACCACCCATCTAGATTACTGTAATGCATTTATACATGGGACTGTCAATAAAGGATACACTGTATGGAAAGCACAATTGGTTCAAAATGCAGGAGCCCCCATACTTTTGGGCTCCTAGCACTGGGAACATATAACATTGGTTTTGTGAATCCTGCATTAGCTATGAATTGGTCTCCAGGTCCAATTTAAAATGCTGGTTTTGACTTACAAAGTATTTGACATTCAGATGCTTTCAGGATCACCTTCACTGTCCAGCTCCAGCTCAACCAAATTAGATTTAACAGGAAGAAAATGCTACCAAACCAATCTCTGCTTCAGGAATTTGGGGGCAAGGGGAGGCTAAGGCAAGGATGTGCTGGTCTTAAAGACCAAGCAATTTTGGAGACCTTTCCCCAATTTGATCTGATATAGCCTTATTTTTATTTTCTTTGTATTTCTGAAGCATTTTTATTATTTATTTAGATTTGGTTGGTTGGTTGGTTGGTTGGTTGGTTGGTTGGTTGGTTGATTATGGCCATCATTTTGATTCCTAGCAATCCTATAGATAGATTTTCTCCATGGTGATCTGTTCCTAATTTGATCTTCCCGGTCTTCTAACAATGTACTCATCACCATTATAACTGAGTCCATCCACATTGCTGCTGGTCAACCTTTTCTTCTCTTTCCTTCTACCATTTCCAGCATTACAGCCTTGTCCAACAGTTAGGTCTTCACCATTCTTCTACTCTGATACTAAACACAGGAGCCCCCCCAGGGTTGTGTGCTAAGCCCCTTCCTTTATTCCTTGTACACACGATTGCACCCCACTGTATAACACCAACACAATTATTAAATTTGTGGATGACACGACAGTGGTAGGGCTCATTAATAAGAACGATGAGTCAGCATATAGAAAGGAAGTACAAGGGCTGACATTGTGGTGTAAAGAAAATAATCTTACACTTAACACCAAAAAAACTAAAGAGCTTATAATTGACTTCAGGAGGAAGAGAGATGTACATTTACCATTGTACATAAATGGTGAGGAGATGGAGAGAGATGGTAGTTTTAAATTTCTGGGCATTTATATCTCGGAGGACCTCTCATAAAATATGAATGCTAACATGCTTGTGAAGAAGGCACAGAAGAGGCTGTACTTCCTGAGAATGCTCAGGAAGATAAATCTATCTCAGCATCTACTTCTGTCCTACTATCGCAGCACCTGACATGTGAGATGTCCTGACATACAGCATTCTTGCATGGTATGGGAGCAGCTCTGCAGCAGACATAAAAGCTCTACAGAGAATTATTAAAACTGCCCAGAATATCATCAGGCTCCAGCTACCAGCCCTGGATGACATCTTCGAATCTCGCTGTTTGAGGAAGTTTGTTTGTTTGTTTGTTTGTTTGTTTAATTAATTCAGCTTATATGCCGCCCTATCTCACAGTGGACTCAGGGTGGCTCACAACAATAAAACAAAAGCCACAATAAAAATAAAGACTAAAATCTAAAAAATTTAAAATTAACCCATTAAAACCCTTAAAACCCCGTCATCAGGCCAGGTCAAGGGATTTGAAAAGCCAAGTTTTTAATTCCCGGCGGAAGGTGCGAAGGTCAGGCGTTAGTCGGAGCTCCAAGGGGAGTTGATTCCAGAGGGTGGGCGCCCCAACCGAGAAGGCTCTACCCCTGGGGGCCGCCAGCCGCCACTGTCTAGCCAATGGCACCCTGAGTAGGCCCTCTCTATGGGCGCAAACCGGGCGATGGGATGTTGTTGCTGGCTGTAGGTGGTCCGCCAAATATCCTGGTCCTAAGCCATGTAGGGCTTTATAGGTCAACACCAGCACCTTGAATCTCACCCATCTCATCTCACTCATCTCAAGTTGCATAACATCCTCAGAGACTCTTCCCATCATGCTTTCAATCTTTTTGGACTGTTGCTTTCTGGCAGAAGATACAGAACAATTAAAACTCGGACCACACGTCTTTTGAATAGTTTTTATCCCAGAGCTGTAATTGCACTCAACAATGAACTAAAGGGCCACCATCAGTGAGCTGTTGGACAGCATTACTTGGTCTGTTGTGTGGATGTTTGGGTGGTTTAGGGGTGGGGAATTTTGGTGGGTGGCGGTGGGTCTGGGGAGTGTCATGTGTGTTGGACTTGGTCTCTGGGTGTTATGTGAAATTCGTTGTATGTACTGTGTATATACGTACAATGACAATAAACTTTATAAACTTTATATACATAATATGTCAGATGCAAGATAATTTAAGACTGCTCATGTGTGCTTCAAGGGAGATCTCTGAGTTGATTTGTTCAGTGATCCACTGGTTTGTTTTCTTGGCTATTTATAGTATTCTCAAAATCTTCCACACCAAAGTGTAGAGGTGTCAGTATTCTTCCTAGTCTGCTTCAACAAAGTACAACTTTCAGTTCCATAGAATGTCACAAGAAATACCATGGCTTGCACAAGTCTGATCTTTGTAAGTCATGCCATTTGAATATCTATTCTAAGGCCTTCATGGCTGCTTTGCCAATTGCTAGTCTGTAGTGTATTTCTTGACTGCTTGTTTCTTTGCTACTGATGGTTGATCCTAAAAAGCAGAAGCTATTCATCACTTTGATATCTTAATGCTAAGGCTGGTTGTTCAACCTGTGTCGTTAGTGTCATCTTCCTTATAATTTTAGCTCCATTTTTTTTTCACTTTAGTACTTAACTTTTATTATTAGAGCTTGCAGATCCTTTGCATTTTTGGCTATCAAGATAGTATCATCAACACAGTACAAATAAGATTTATCTGAACTGTGGTAGCATAGAAATATGTTTAATAAATAAACATCTGACATCTCTTATCCAAAAACTGGGCAGCTTTTGGAGGGGACCAAGTCATTTGGGGAGAATTTGGAAAGCTACACCTTGCTCTGATGCCTTAGAATTTACTCCCTACTTTAAAAGATGCTTTTTCCAACTCCATTATTTAAAGATTCCTCAGATGTGTGTAAGCAGCAAACATGCTAGACAAAAGACCATTTTATCTGCTGCACATTCCCCTTCAAAAAAGAAAGAAATGCATTACTTCTAATAAAATATAAATATATCACACTTACATTATAGACCTTGCCATCAGATACAGCCCTGTACTGATGGTACAGACCATCTGCATATCGTGAAGCCACAATTTTTCCCAAGACGGAGACATAGTCTACAATAGAAAGTGTTGTTCATGTATAACTTACATCATGTGCATTCTTTCTTCATCACAGTCTCTCGCAAGTTCATGAAGTAGTAACTCCTGCTAAGGAAAAGCTACAAACTCATACACATGTTGCCATTTATTAACAAAAGGGACATCTAAACAACAAAAGAAGTAACAGCTTGTAACACAATAGAGATCTCTTTGCACGGTCATATTTTAGGAATACCTTCTTTGTGCTGGAATCCAATTTGGGAAAAAATCTGAGAAAAAGTCATCTTGTTCTTCTTGAGTCCATAAAGTTGAAGCCATTTAGCAGAAGAAATCAGAGTTTGTACATCCAAGTCCCACCGGACATCATTTGTCCTTTCTTTTGCTTCCATTGCATTCTTAAAAGCAACAAGTGATTGAGATGTTTCATGCTCCTTTTTAGTCTTTCCATTAACAGCAACCTCTGTAAAGGGAAATAAACTTATCTATAGCAAACTTATTTAGATGTCCCCTTCCTTCCCTATTATTTTTTATTTTTTAAAAAGCTATCATTGATAAACGAATTACTCACTACTAAAAGTAATAATATCCCTGTAACACACTATAGATCCTAGAACTTCCAACCACTATGATTGCTGCATTTCTCCAGCATAACTTTTTGCAAATTGCTGAAATTTTTACACAATTTTGAACCTGCAATCAACCTACAAAAACTGTGCTAGTCCTCTACTTCAATGGACGGCATCTGTCGGTGCTCCTTTTACTTTTAGACCTTCACAGATAAAAGAGTGAAAATTCCAAGGAAGACTTCTACTGATACCTCTAGGTTCTTTTGAGGGAGGACCTTTCTGGGATACCATGTAGAAAAGTGAACTTGGGAAGCACTACATCGCTTACGTATGGTAAAAAATCCAGATGGAGACTAATTGCCTTGATTAAGAAGGAAGAGGAAAATGTAGTTCTCTTCAGTCTTGTTCCGAGCTCTCAGTCCCTTGCCTTCTCAGATAAACTAAGGAAAATCTCACCAACTTTAGCAAAGCAGCATAGGGAATGTCTGCTATCAACCAACTAACTATCCTCATTGAAGATAGTCCTTTGGGTAAATAGACCTCATGACTGGTTGTTTTGCCTTCTGGTAAAGCCATTTGTTCAAAAAGCCAAGCCTTGAGAACAATGGCCCTAAACAACTAAAAATTATTCCAATATTTACAGGAAGAGCCAAGGACTTCCTGGGTCTTCAGAGGCCAAGGCACTCTACCAGAGAAAGGAAAAGGAAAAGGAAAAGCAAGATCAGCTGAGAGCTCCTGCAAGTGGTCTGCTTACCAGAGCAGGGAGAATGGAACAACTAGTGAGAAGCTTAATCTCAAAGATAATTCTTTGGCCCTCCTGTTGGAGTGAATGGAATGAGTAATTCTGCCAAGGATATACTCCAGCCATAGTAGGAAGAGAAATAGTCCTATTGTACTGTTATGAATTCCACTTGTTATTTACATGGATATCCAAACATGCAGTCCTGAAGAAAAAATTATTTCTTTGCTGCACCATTGCCATAAGATACTAGAATATAATGCTATTTTCTTGTCGAGAGAAACTACCCATGTCTAGTAGAAATTTCAGGAGTAAGCATTTAATAGATACTCACGTTTACTCCAAGCAAGTTGATTACTCATGTTGCCAGTCATTCCAAGGACAGAGTTTGTTTGGGCTTCCATTCCTCTTAAATCAGTAATAAAAACAAATATAAATTATTATATTGGTTGCATTAATTTAAGGCTGTCTCAGCAAACTTAATCTAGGATGGGTATTTATACATTTAATGATTTCTATAACAATAAATTGAAAGATTTTTTCAACAATAAATGGAAAGATTCCCTCAAATCTAACAAATTTATGATGCCATCATCTTTCACAAATTATAAGATGCTTTTGCACAGCATAAAAGCTTATGCTGTAGTGAATTTTTAATAGTCTTTAAAATGCCACAAGATTGTTTAAGTAGAAGGTAAACACTTGAATTATAGCTGTTCTGTGCTAATCACATTGCCTGCCTTTTTGGCCCTATTTTAAGGTGGTAGAATTAGTTTTGGAGGCTCTATTTCTTGTGGAGGCTAAACGATTCTGGCTGCCTAGAAGCACCAATATTAAATTGCTTAAATTTAAAGTCCATAGTTTCCTAAAATAAGGATTATTCTATCATGGGCTCACAATTCTGAAAAGTCCCCCAGTCCGTCAACTTTCATCAATTCCCATAAATCTAATCTAATCTAATAATTTAATTAGTTTAGTTTAGTTTAGTTTAGTTTAGTTTAATTTAATTTAATTTATTTTAATTTATTTTAATTTAATTTAATTTTTATTATTTTATTTTAATTAATTAATTAATTAATTACCATCTCTCTTACAACAAACTCTGGGCAGTTCCCAATCAAAAATTAAAATGACAAAAAAAAACCCATATTAAAACTATTAAAAGTCATCGAGTCAAGCTTCCGATGTGTAGTTACTTCATCTTATCCCAGCACTTTAGGAGGGTGAGAGTCAGGTCTTTAGTGTTTTACGGAAGGTTAGGAGGGTAGAGATCTGTAGAAGTTCAAGGAAAATGATTTCTGTAGGGCAGGGACTGCCACAGAAAAGGTACATTTCCTAGTCCCCATCAACTGATAATCTTCAAAGGAAAGGACTAGACGCATGCCCACCCTATCAAATGCAGCAAATGGCTGTCTCCTACAGACAACATAGATACCTTAATCAGTATTTCCTGTTTGAGAATGATAGGAATTGAAATCCATCATATTTGGAAAGCGCTAAGTTAGGAAAGGCTTATCTAGCTTTATATATATGCTTGAAAAGGCATTATCAAATCAATCAGATAGGTAATCTCTTATATAGTTTGTAGATTTGAAAGGTATAAAAAAATAATAAAATCTCATACTACCCACAGAGGCAGTAAATATTTAGAGACACTTTAAAAACACTTAATACATATACAATTAGAGATGCTAGCTCCGATCACTGACCAGGTTAGATCCTGTAGATGGCAGTGATTTTAAGCATCTCAGATGCAAATTTGCATGCAGAAAGTTAGTTGTGTGCCTTTTGCATGCCAAGCATTCTGCCCTAACGAAGTAACGAATAGTTAATATAATATAAGCTAGTACAGGTAGACCACTATTTATGACGACAGTTGCCAAAATTTCTGTTGCTGAGACATTTGTTAAATGAGTTTTGCCCCATTTTATGACCTTTCTTGCCACAGTTGTTAAGTGAATCAATGCACTTGTTAAAATAGTAACATGGTCATTAAATGAATCTGGAATCCTGATTTGACCCAGGGCCACAGCAACCATCATAAATATGAGTCAGTTGCCATGCATCTGGATTTTGATCATGTGACTATGTGGATGCTGTAAAGTGTGAAAAATGGTCATAAGTCACTTTTTTCAATGATATAACTTCAAACAGTCACTAAATGAACTGTTGTAAGTTGAGGACTACCTGTATTTGCCGCATCATTGTTGGTTACATGGAGGAAGTATTACCTGAAAAGGAATCTGATTGAGATTACATAAAACCCTTATAACAAAACACAAGAAGTTCTTTCCAACATTTTTTAAAACTCTGGGAGAATGAATTGGGATTTGAAATCATAACAATTTTTTTTAAAATTTGATTTATAAACCGCCCTTCTCCGGAGACTCAAGGCGGCTTACAATGTGCTCAGCAATAGCCTTCATCCTTTTGTATATTTTATACAAAGTCAGCTTATTGCCCCCACAACTGGGTCCTCAATTTACCTACCTTAGAAAGGATGGAAGGCTGAGTCAACCTTGAGCCTTGGCGAGATTTGAACCTGCAGTAATTGCAGGCAGCTGGTCTTAATAACCAGTTTAATAACAGGGTGCCTTAGACCACTGTACTACCAAGGCTCTTTCACAGAGAACTGTTCATATTATTACAGATTTCCCTTTAAATCTATTTCATCTAATCATTAAGAATGGATCATGAACATAAAACACAGGTAGCACTATATAGCATTAAAATTACACTATAATCTTATTACTATTTCAAGACTGTGTTGACAGGGTCGGATGTCAATTGATATAGATTGGATGTCTGATGGCAAACACTTTGGGCAATCTCAGTATTGGTTTGGTGCCCAAATTTTTGACTGCAGATAGATTGATATAAGAAATTGAATTCGTCAACTGCCAGGATTGTTTCTACAAAATTTAAAAAAACTAAAATAAATATTTCATTTAATTAGTGACTCTGGAGAAAAAATTAACAGAACAAAAAGTCTGAAAAAGTCTGCAAGGAAGAGCCCCATTGTCAGACCTACCAGTTAGATCAACGCACAAGTCAATTTTACAGAAAGGCTAAAAATACTTTCACTAAGTTTGTTTGTAATAACAAAATCTTGCAAGTTTGATTGTGGGGTATGTCTTTCTCCTTCTTATCCTCATGTGAATTAGGGAGTTGGCCTGAGCCTCTTCTACATATTTTCTGTTGTTGTGAATGTGAGATCTGTTTTTCCTTTGATGTTATTGCTTTGATAACAGAGTTCACATATTTCCGTCAAGGTCATCTGCCTCATTCTTTACACTCATTTATTAGCTGCATGAATATTGTTTTCCTTTAACAGATTATGCCTTTTTTTCCCCTTTTTGTCTGTACTCCCTAATTTTGCTTTTTCCCTGCTTCCCTCACTTTTTTCCATTTTAACCTTTTTTCTCATTCTTTGTATTTTACACTTTTCGGAAATCTAATAAGGTTGTTTAAAAAAAACATTTAGAAAATGATATCAATAAGATGCACTAAACCAATAATTTATATATAGTGGTATATGGTTTAGTGCATGTTGTTGATATCATTTCCTAAGTTTTTTACAACCTTATTAGATTTCAAAATGTGTAAAATACAAAGGATATAGATACATACAATACATACATACATACATACATACATACATACATACCACACACACACACAAGGCACCCAGTCCAGACTTCTTTCAGATTCAACTTTCAGACATCTGTATTCAACTAAAATTCTAACCCCTTGTAAATCATTTCCTAATCATTTAATTGTCTTGGTTGACTGAGCCATAGTTTGCTAAATCCAAGGCCCTGAGTTTTCATAACACTAATTAGCAAACCACATTTTAGGATGTATATTTTGAAAATCCAACCACAGGAAATCAGAAGGTAGGTCTGCAGGCAGGGATTAAGGTGCTTTAGTCAAAGAAATGATTACCCTCTACTTGCTCTTTTGTTCTTATCTGCTCTATATCAGAGATGGCACTTCAGCCGTGGATTATGGCTTCACCAGAAATCCAATGCTTACCACAGACAGATATAAAGTAATATTGCTTTTAAAAGGCGGATGGGAAGAAACAGGCTCCGACTCAACTCTTCCAAGACCGAGTGGCTGTGGCTGCCGGCATCCCGATATAGACAGCTGATACCATCGCTGACTATTGGGGGCGAGTCATTGGCCCCCACAGAGAGGGCTCGCAACTTGGGTGTTCTCCTGGATACGCAGCTGTCTTTAGAAGAGCATATGACAGCCGTGGCCAGGGGAGCTTTCTATCAGGTTCGCCTGATTCGCCAGTTGCGACCCTTTCTAGATCGGGATTCCTTACGCACAGTCACTCATGCCCTCATCACTTCCCATCTGGACTACTGTAATGCTCTCTACATGGGGCTCCCCTTGAGGTGCACGCGGAGGCTCCAACTGGTCCAGAATGCAGCTGCACGGGTGATATTGGGAGCGACATGGCGCTCACATGTAACATCTCTCCTACACGAGCTGCACTGGCTCCCAATGGTCTTCCGAGTGCGCTTCAAGGTGTTGGTTCTTACCTTTAAAGTGCTCCATGGCTTATGACCTGGGTACTTACAAGACCACCTTCTGCAACCAATAACCTCCCACCAACCAGCATGCTCCCACAGGGTGGGCCTCCTCAGGGTGCCGTCACTAAAGCAATGTTGACTGGTGGTTCCCAGAGAAAGAGCCTTTTCTGTGGGGGCACCTACCCTTTGGGACAGGTTACCCCCAGGGATACGAATGATCCCAGATCTTCGTACTTTCCGTCATGCACTTAAGACCTTTCTATTTCACCAAGCTGGGCTGGCATAAATCTCTTCTAATTGTTCTAAATCTTTATGCTGAAGATTCTTAACCGATGAACCAAATTGGCTTAATCATCTTATATTCACATTTTATATGTATGTTATTTTAACTGTTCACCGCCCTGAGTCCTTCGGGAGAAGGGTGGTATAAAAATTAAATAAATAAATAAATAAATAAATAAATAAATAAATAAATAAATAAATAAATAAATAAATAAATAAATAAATAAATAAATAAATAAATGTATGTATGTATGTATGTATGTATGTATGTATGTATGTATGTATGTATGTATCCCAGATCATTCCAAACCTAGAAATCTATTTCCAATGCCATATCTAAATTGAGCATTTTAGTAGCCTAAGTGGGAACATTCATTTTGATTGGAATTCAGAAACTCTTGTTGGCTTTCTACTTCCTATTTTTAATCACTCTGCCTGTCAACCTTTTTATTTCGATTATACTTTTTCAATTACATGGCTTCTGTCATAGATCCAAATCACAACAGTGCAATAGTCAACACTAGCACCAACAGTCACCTTGACAACCTTTTAAAATACAGCTGTTGATGGATTGACTAGTTAATAAACAAAAAATCCTCGATATATGTGTACAATAAAGGACATGTGCAAACATTTACCCTTAACACCAAATAATTTGCTTCTGGCAAAATCCCCAGAAAAGTTGTGTTAACAAGCCACTGTCACAATGTGGTGTTGGTTTGCCAGCAGAGAAATGCATACTGCTAACAGAAATGCTAGCCTGCCATGCACTATTCCAAGAATTAATCTCGTATCAGTAGTCAACGCTAGCTAAACTATTGTTGCACATGAACAGACAGAACTAATCATAATTGACTAGGATCATTAAACATGCTGATTCAATGCTGTACAAACAACAATTAGCACAAGTAAATGATCAGTTATAAATCATTTTAGCACCATCATAACTTTGAACAGTCATTAAACAAACGGTCATACATTGAGGAAAACGTGTACTAAGAAACAGATTTAAGCAATGAAATAAAACAGAATTGGCTGTATATCAATAAGGATAACCTTTATTGTCATGCCATGTAAATATTGGGCAGCGCATGACTCTGCAGTGGAAAGCCTCCTTATCCATGGATGACCTCAGTATAGAATACTGGTATTATAGGATTCTAAAGAACAGAGTTTTGCATTGCTCTTAAAATAGATTGTATTTAATAATTTTCTGGGAATCTAGCCAATTGTGGTTAATCCATGAATCCTGTCTGGGAAGCTTCCCTCCTAGAAGAATAAAATTTTTTGAGGAATATTAAAAAAGGTAGAATATTATATTTCCCTAAATGAGAAATGGAGAAACATGTTTTTTAGAGACAAAAAGCAACCCCCACCTTCCTTAACAGCCCACAGATGTCAGCATTTAAGCGATAAAGAGCTTATTGAAAGAAGACAAGTATCTAGATACCTCTATTCATAAGCAAATATCCTCACCCAAGAGCCAAAACAGGATGAAAGACATTAAGCCACAATAGGAATTACCCAACACCCTTTCAGAACACAAGCCCCTTCACTGCATCACCCCCAGCAAACTTCAACCAAACCTGAGAGCTCAGACAACCTATAGAGCCAGCTATGACCCCTACATAACCCCTACAACACCCAATAGAATACATGTTCTTGCACAGGAACAGGAAGCTCAAGTGCAAAGCTTAAAAAAGGTATAAAAACCCTTCACTCTCAACTCCATTTTGTCAGCTGCACCAGAACCATGTGCTTGGTGGTTCTGTTCATCATTAAACCCTCTTTCCAATCAGCCTCCATGTTTCCAGTGTCTTTCTCTCAGCTTGGAATTGAACCAGATAAGATATTTTCCCCACACCTGTTAAACAAATCATGGCTTAATGCAATATGTCAAAATCAGTATGCTTAAAACATTGAATTTATGACTACAGGTAGTCCTCAATTTACAATACTTTGTTCAGTGACCGTTCAAAGTTACAATGGCACTGAAAAAAGTGTCTTATGACTGTTTTTCACAATTACAACCATTGCAGCATTCCCTTGGTCACACAATCTAAATTTGGGAACTTGGCAACTGACTCATAGTTATGGCATTGCAGTGTCTCAGGGTCATTGACCTTCTGACAAGCAAAGTCAATGGGGAAGCAAGATTCACTTAACAACTGTGACAAGACAGGTCATGAAATGGGGTAAATTCACTTCACAATTGTCTCACTTGGCAACAGAAATGTTGGCTTCATTTGTGGTCGTAAGTTGAGGACTTACCTGTATATCTTAGGAGAAAGCACAAATCTAAGCATGGAAAATTTAGAGAATCAACAGAAACTAAGATTTCCACACAGAAGTTGTTTAGCATGTCACATTCCCTGATCTTCACACTAAACCAATTTACAAATGGCGGAAAGTGAGAGAAACATTGGAACTTTTTTTTCTTTCTCTCTTGCAAAAAGGTTCTGAATGTATTTGAACAGGAAGTTTGAGCCAGGATCAACCCTTTGTTACGTTAAACAGACTAAAAGCTTCTGCGACTTCAACTCACAGAATTCTGGCAGTTGAAGTCCATAAGTCTTAAAGTTGCCAAGGTTGGAGACCCCTGGACTAAAGTCCTCGATTTTGAACTATAACAAAGAATACAATGTTTGTGTGTACTTCCCTTCATATGTCATTAGCATAGTGGCAGTGTATTCTTTATTATAAAGGACAGTCCTTTGTTTCAGATAGCTGTCCTTTAGATTTATTTTTCAAAAGTTCTCTGTTTGCCTTTATTTTGGTCATTTTAACTTTTAACGATACCACCTAACGCATACTTTCATATTCATGTGAAAAATATGGAAATTCAAATTATCTTTTAAAGTATAGTTTTACGTATTTTAATTGAGTTTAGATACTTTTATTTTTTAAAAAAAGCCTCTGTAAAGTTTTTTCTTAGTTTTGCTCTTAATTTTTCTGTTGTGAAGCAAGGTTATAAACATAAACAATTAAATTTGTTTATCCTTCGGAGCGTCTTTCAGATTTTGCTCCCTTTTCAAGTTTGTCCTTTTATTTTTATTTTTCAAGAAAATATGGTCACTGAAATAATATGGTCCCTAAGCCCTGGTGCTATAACACTGTCTTCTGGAATATCAAATTCTGGCTCAGATGTTAAGATGTCCTGAAGTAGTCCTGGGTGCAAGTCTTGTTCTATCTTCTTCATATGTGATGAATGGTGGCAGTGGAAAAGGGCCACCTACTTTTTACCATGCTGCTGAACTTTGTATTTACATCTGGTTAAGTCTGTGACACTTAAGGCTACATTTGGAGGCTACAGCTGGTGCAGAGTGTGGTGGCACAGGCAGCTTTGGGAGCCTCAAGAATGGCCCCTGTAACACCACTATTCCACACGCTGCTTTGGTTACCCGTCTGCTTCTGGGTGCAATTCAAGGTATTGGTGGTCACCTTTAAAGCCCTTCCTGGCATGGGTTATTTGTGGGACCGTCTCACCCCACTGGGATTGACCCATCCCACTCATGCCAGCAGAGGAGGCATGCTCCCATCAGCCCAATTATTCCGGCTGGTGGGGTCCAGGAGGTGAGCCTTCTCTGCTGTTGCTCCTGCCTTCTGGAACATCTTGCCCCCACTTCCATGTGAGGTTGACCCAGGGGTGAAATCCAGCAGGTTCTAACAGGTTCTGGAGAACCGGTAGCAGAAATTTTGAGCAGTTCAGAGAATCAGCAGATACCACCTCTGGCTGGCCCCAGAGTGGGGTGGGAATGGAGATTTTGCAATATCCTTCCCCCAGGAGTGGGGAGGGAATGGAGATTTTTCAGTATCCTTCCCCTGGAGTGGGATGGGAATGGAGATTTTGCAGTATCCTTCCCCTGCCATGCCCACCAAGCCACGCCCACAGAACCGGTAGGGTTAAAAATTTGGATTTCACCCCTGGGTTGGCCGCAACCCTCCTATCCTTTCATATGGGCCTAAAGACCCATATGGCAGAACAGCACAATGGAGGTGGTTGAAGAAGTAACAACAGATCCCACCTCCCCGCATTCTGCCCCACCCGCTCCACATGTCCTTAGATTTTAGTCTTTGGTTTTAATTTATTTATGTTTTAATGTAGATATATATTTTAATGACTGTAAGCCACCCAGAGTTACCTTATGGTAAGCTGGGCAGCCAATAAATTTTATAAATAAATGGATAGACAGACAGGATTCTCAGATGTCTGATCCAGCACATTAATGTTATCAGCACATTAAAATCCTGACAGAACTGCAGTTCTGAAGAAAGCCTGAATATGCAAATTAACATGAGGATAAAGCCTAGCAAAAGTTTCAAATTTGGATACAAAGACCCAGACCGTTATGAAAAAAAGTTTCCCCTAGAAGCAAAGGTCGGGTAGCTGTAGAATTAGGCTGAGAAAAGATATATTTTGCAGAAATTGTTCAGTTTACCTACAGCCATTTCACAAACCGGACAGGAGGGAAGGTATGCCAGCAAATCATGGTTTGGCAGGCCTGTTCTTTGTGGCATGCTGCATGGATTGGTCAGAAGGCAATGGAGAGCAGGCGGAACTATCCATTTTCTTACCTCCAAAATTCCTTAGCTACATTTCTTGTATTGCCCTAACTTCCAATGCAGAATATTTGCATTTCCCCCCCCCCAACAAATCAAATTTTCTCCCCCACAAATCTAAGGATCATACAATCAAAACATGCGGCCCCTAGGAAAACTAATTAAGAAAAGTGGATATTCCAATTAATGTTTACTATCTATATATCAAGATGCTGCTTGACATTCGTACCCCGAAGCTCCTTGGTCATCAAAGGAGGGGAACTCAGTCCCTGAGATGCATTAACTGGAAACGAATGGTGGCATTACCCGGCCAGCCAGGTCTCCAGCTTTCCACCCATTCTGGGAATCCTCCGTGCAAGGTAATAGGGAGGCTACTAGCACCCCTGCGCGGCTCTCCACGGGGGGGGAGGCCCGCCTCACCTGGTTCGTGCTATCAGGCCGCTTCTATCCCATTGTGACGAGCAAACGCGGCGAATTCCAGGGCGCTGCAGCGATTCGTCCTGCTTAAAGCAGCCGCCCCGTTTTCGTTGATGCTAGAGACGGCGCGGTTGCTAAGGCAGGGCCAGCTGGCAGAGGCGATCGGAGCCTAGTTCCGAAGGATAAAAGGTGCTGGGATTTAAACGCGTCTCTTGCAGTTTGCCCTTTTTTTTTTTTTTTTCGCTGCGGGGCTTAATCCCAGACATCTCACTGCTATTTATATAATGCTTTTCCTTCTAAAGAGGAAACTACGCTCCGACTCCCTGGACTCTGTTTCGATTGTAAAAGAATTGTAAAAAAAAAAAAAAAAAAAAAAAAGCAAACATTTTTGTTTTTCTATATAGTTTAGTCACAGGTCTCTTCTTGTTCACCACCTGCTTTACTTGGGAAAGAGAGTTTGTGGCTCAGAGTGTCAGGATGACAGTGCAAGGACATTGCCTGCAATAATCAGAGGTAATCGCAGGCAGATGGTAGTTTCCCACGCAGGCCTCAGAAGTCCTTGTCCTTGGCTGCAAATGATGGAGATAATTATTTAAAGATGCTCTCGTTATGGGCTGGAATTAAAGAAAATGTTCAACGGGAGTAATGAAGGGCTGTCTTTTTTATAAACAATTTCTGTATAGCATTGCAACTAAGATCAATTAATGACTGTCTGGTTTGCCTAGAGCCTACCTCACCAAGGGATTTTGATCCAGTCCCAATTTCTCAGCCTAACTTATCCTGCAAGCTTGTAATGAAGATTGTGAGGAGATGATCCAAATCATCATCATCAACAGCAACAAAATAAAAGATAGACAAGGGGAACTAAAATGTTGTCTGGAATACTTCCCCAACATGCTGGAAATGCAAACTCCAAAAAGGAAACTATTACCATATGTGGTGGTCCTGACAGAAAGCAAAACAATATTGGCAAATGATTAGAAAACAAATGGAAGGAATCATACACCAAAAAATAGAAATGAGACCAGAAACCTTTTTATTAGGAATAATTATAGGATAATATGAAAAGGAAATAAAATATTTAATCATCCACATTTTAACAGCAGCACGAATAATCTTTGCCCAAAATTGGAAGAATATTGATATACCAACAGAAGACAGAGTAATCAGTAAAATTATGGAATGTGCAGAAATAGACAAACTTACAAAGAAAATACAAGGAAAAGAGGAAAATGATTATTATTTAGTATGGGAGAAATGGTACATTTGGTTGGAGGATAGAAAAGAAAAAAGATAAGGAAATAAATGAGAAGATATAAATTATAGATATGAACATTAAGTACCAATTTAGGTTAATAGTGAATTAAAAATATTGATTAAGAGAATATATAGAAATGATGTATTAGGAATATAGATATAAGAGGTTAAAACAAGAAAGAGTAAAGGTATAAACAAGAATATAGATTACCGATGCAACAAGTTTGAAAAGAGAATATATAGCTGATTTTTGTTTACTTGTTTGTATTTGTATGTTTTGTTGTTTGTTTGTTTGTACTTTCTAATAAAAAAAATTATAAAAAAATAAAAAAAAATAAAATGTTGTCTGGAACAGCTCAGTCTTTGGCAGGAAGAATGCCAATCTGATCCCCACAGGTTCTTCTTCAAATAGTATCCCTTGACCTCAAGGACCCTTACTTCACAAAAGTGGGAAGCTATAAGTAGATTTTCCATAGATGGTCTAATAATCAGAGCAATTCTGGTTGAAGTAAGGTGGCAGAGATTTTCTTGCTATTACCAAGAAAAAATTAAACTACCTAGAAATGCTGTTATTAATATTTGTACTATATTTGTGTAAATTAGCTATCCTATCTGCATATTTCATAATTATTTTCCAAGAAGCCTTTTTTCTGTAGGAGCAACTTTATATACTGAGTAAAACTTACTTGCTAAGAAGTTATTCATATTAAACTATGTCGCTGTTCTGCTCCATAAGTAACAACCCTAGAGACAAAAGGGTGACTCTAAATAATTACAGAAACCATGGGAAATTACACAGAAATAGATTAAATCTTGCCAGTTTGGCAGTTAATTATTGTATAGTAGAAATGGCAGTGCAAAATACAGCTTAGTCCCATTAAAAACGCTAGAATCTTCTCACAAGGGGAAAAAAACCCACCAAAATCTGTATTTGAACATGCCAGATTTACAGGAGTGTGCTAGCTTTTGCGTTTCATTAACTTTTCCCCAGCAAGATGGTAAAAGAGATAAGAAAGCTAAGGAAGAAAAATGAAGGCTTGCATTTGAACCTTGCCTGTGTTGATCTTAGGGCTTGTCCCCATTATTAGGTAAAAGCTAACTACCTAAACTTTAGCTGGCATAAAATAATGCTGGCATGAAATTTGCTGTCTCTGTTTCAAAACCTGCTTATCTTGCATCTGTTCCAAGTCACTGCAGAATAGCACTGTCCTGATTTCTGAGTGTGCCAACTATTATAAGCAAAGTGTTTTGCTTTCCCCTCTGGCTTTATTGACATTCCCTTTCACCATGTCAACAGCCAGTGAGCAAACACCTGCCGGTGGAGCAGGGCAGCACAAATGTGGTAGGTTTGATTCAGGGCTCTAATCTTTCTCTAGATTAGTTTATCTGTCCCTCTTTTTATGTACTAACTAGGCATCCTCCAATTTAAAATCATATTAAAAAAAGAAAGAAAACAACAAGGCAAAAGTTATTCTAGAGAGATGTGAGGCTGAATTTGCCATGGCACTGAATTGTATTCAGTTCTGTGGAGTCTGAAAACTGAAATTACTGTAATTAGCAAACCTTACTTCAGGAAGAGGAAAATGACTGAAACTGACAAATATAAGAAATCTGACAAATAAGTTAGAATAACCAGTTCAAAAACTCTTGTTTTCTGAAAGCTGCCATGATAAAAAAAAAGCGTGATTGCCGCATCGAATGGTAAAAATACATTTTAAAATACTACTAAAAGAAAAAAAAATGTTTATATTCTGCCTTTATTACAGAATATTTTTAAAACAGAACACCTCTATTCGATTACTCCTCTTCCCCAAATAATATAGTGGAAACCTGCTGAGCTTTCTTCAGCTTTGTTGAAGGCATGAAGAGATGGCATCAAAAAAAGGAAGTAGAGAAGTTGATTGATGTGGGGGTGGGAAACAGGAAACCAAGCGCTAATGAAGAGACCCTGTACTGGGAAGAAAATACTGCAGTTGAAGCTGGAAAGTGATTAGAGGGGAATTGGCCTCACAATACTCCAGCCCTCTAATCACTGCCACAAGTCATCTAATCTGACCTCAAAGATAATGGGTGACAAAGCACTGCACATTTACACAATTTAAAGCTATAGTAGAATAGTACTAGATGAAGGAGGAAAGTCTTACCTTAAAATAGGTGCACCTAATAATGACTTAATACTCATGGACATGAGATGACAGCAAAAGTGGAAATAAGGCCTTAGATGACAGTAATATGATGAGGTGCAAATTAGATCTTTTCGGATGCAGAGAAAGTACTGCAAAAGTTGTCCAACATAAAACTTTGTTTAACTGAGAGCAAACCTAAGGAAAGAACTGCTACTTTCTCCTGGAATGGAAAACTATTTCTAATTATTCAGGCTGCAGAAGGAAGTTTTCCTCGATGGATAGGAAGGTCTGTAGTGATTCTCAGTCATCCAGGTCATAGTTGTCCCAAAGGTGCTTTTTCAGGAGGCAACTGGACTTTCTTGTTTTTTCCTTTGAAGATGTTTTGCTTTTCATCCAAGAAGCTTCTTCAGCTCTGACAGGATAGTAGGAAATGGAAGGATTTATATTCCTTGCAGACAGTTAGTAATCTGCATCCTTTTAGAGAGTCCTTGAAGCACTTGGAGGTTTATCTGTGTCATCAGGGTCACAAGTGCTTCAAGGACCCTTTAAAACAGCGGTGCCAAACTTGCGGTGTCATAGTGGTGTCATGTGATGTATCAGGACTTTTTCCCCCTTCGCTAAACCGAGTGGGGGCAGGGCCAGCAACCGGCCCGTGGGGTTTAACATCCCTGCTCTAAAAGGATGCAAATTACCAGCTGTCTACAAAGAATATACTATAAATCCTTCCATTCCCTACTATCCTGTCAGAGCTGAAGAAGCTTCTTGGATGAGAAGCAAAACATCTTCAAAGGAAAAAACAAGAAAGTCCAGTTGCCTCCTGAAAAAGCACTTTTGGCACATCCTGCCAACTACATTCCTACCTTCTAGAAATCCTCTAGAACAATATTTTTAATGGCAACATTAAGTTGTTGGCTGGAAATTTTGGGGATATTATTTCTATTAACATTTATATTATTTCTGTATTATTAACAACAGTAAATAAATTAGAAGCATTGGGGGATTTTTGTTTTGGGCTTCATTTTGTTTTGGTTTCTTTCCTAAATTGCTTAAATACAATGTATTTGTATTCTTTATCACATAATAGAACTTTATAGCAAAATATTGTAACTGAAATAACTACTGTAATATAAAAGTAAATATATTCTGAAAAATGCACGTAACGATTAGTCAAAATAGCATTGTGCTGGAAGTTATCTACACATCTTAGGTTTGAAAAGTTTGAAAAACATTAATCCAGAGAATTTATTTATTGGTAGACAGTTCATTAAAAATGTCAACACAGTGTAAAGCTTCAGTAGGAAAGAAATTGGGGGGAGGAGATTTATTATAAATCTATAATAAGATTTCACTGTCTAATTTTTGATCATCCTGCCTGAAAAAGATTATAAAGATGGAAAAGATGCAAAACTTGATTAGGAAAATAGAGTGTTTCCGTGACAGAATATTGCAACATCTGGAGCAGAGGAGGCATGATTGTGTAACACATAAATAGAAGGCTTTCTCAAAAATATACAATATCTTTGGCCTTACCTAATTGACTAAAGTCATTAATCATGGTTGTCATGCATTAATATATTTTAATGTGCTGATATGTTATTTTCTACTTCATTGTATGCTGCCAGAATCTCACAATTGGGCAGTCTACCAAAGGCATTAATGTCTGTCATTAACAAAGACAGACTTTTTATTGCTTCAACAATACCTGGCTGATGCTATAAATCCTTAGAGTGGAACCATATTAAAAAAAACAACTTGTTTTTATATAGTTCAACTGTAGCAGATGCAGTCATTAAGTCTGGTAATGACTGCCAATTTAAACGCTTTAAGGGGAAATGGACAATATCATGGAAGAATCAATGGTTATTAGCCTTTATGGTTGTTTCCTTACCTCAGAATTATAGACAACACAACCACATTGTGAGTTTTAAAAACAATAATAAACTGGATGGGCCATTGGGCAGATCCAGGCTGCCTTTATGTTTTTATAATTTGGGTGATGTGTTGTATAACACAAATGGAAGCCACATGAATGGCTTGAATCCTGATTCACTCCTCTCATCTTAAGTTTTACAAAGTCACATTTCCTTTATTTAATCAGTGTAAAAACTGCAGGTAGACTGGAATCTTGTGTCCAGTTATTTAGTGTAGCAGGATGCTCAGCTGAAAACAATGAAATGGATCCAGACCTATTAATATTTCTGGTAAATATATTGAAATAAATAGGATATATTAGTCCAGTTGATTTTAGTAACTAAATCTGGATTCAATTATTGATCTTGTTTATATCTAATCTTGAACTATAATGTAGTTTGTTATTGTCTGAACACATTTGTTTTGGCTTAGTATGCTATGTGAACTAGACTCCTCTGATTTGTTCACCAAGCCATCGTTTAAATAATCCTGGTTTACTGTTATGCAGGAATGCATCTGTTGACTTTTCAGTAAACATTTACAGTGCAGACTGGCTTTCTGTGCTAATTAAAAAAACACCACTGCTGTAAACTAGACTGGGAAGCTAAGAAGGCAAAAGTAAAACTACTTCCATTTTGTTGCCAAGAAAACAATGTAGATGTTTTCCATGAATCACCAGGAGTAAAGGAGATTTGATAGAAAATTTTCTCAAATCCAGAGAGGAATGTACTGCATATTCTAGCAGTGCAATGCCACAAACCCATTATATTTCTGCCCTATTGTTAATCCATTTCAGAGGAGGGAATCCTATTGTGGGTCTTTAACCCCTGCTAGGATTAGGATTATTTTAGGATTGATATGGCATCAGATGAATTACATCACATTACATTACATCTGCAAACAACCACCATCATTTTTTTTCATAAGGGTAAATCCACTAGCAGGTGGTAAAAATCTCCAGCAGGAGCCCCCCAAAATGGGTTAATAGATAAATATAACAGTAGATTTATTTCAGAGGAAATAATATGATACAGATTGGGATAGGATCTCCAGTTTCTAGGGTGATGAACACATATGGGCTTTTTACTATTACAAAATGGCCCACTAATCCTTCTCCCTGCCAATCCAGAGATTAGAAAATTATTTCATCTGCCTGCAGTTCATAATGGACACATCTGAAGATCAGCAGTTGTGGGATGGTTTTTCCGAGCATGATATTCATTTAATTATTAAATTGATATGCCACCCATAAGGTGACTCTGGGCAGCTTACCAATCATAAAAAGATAAATAGAAAAGCGGTTTAAATTTTAAAACTATGCAAATATTTTTATTTTATTTTTTAAATGCAATAAACCAGGAACCAAGAGACAAACCATACACGGATAAGGTCTTCTTACCCATCAATCCATCTCCAGGGCCCCAAGCCAATCCCTTCAGGGCCTCAGGTCAATCAGCAAAATCAAATTTTGAGTGGGGCTCGCAGGGCCGGATTTAGATGAAAAGAGGCCCTAGGCTATTCCACTTATGAGGCCCTTTCACCTATAATGAAAGTGTAATTTTAATTTTGCTAACAATTTGAATGTAGGCCCCTCTTGATCTTGAGGCCCCCTCTTGATCTTGAGGCCCTAGGCTGAAGCCTAGTTAGCCTATAGGAAAATCTGGCCCTGGGGGCTCGCAGTTCTCAGCTCTGGTGGTAGAAAGTTCCACAGGGTCAGGATATGTGCAATACGAAGCATATCAAACTAGTTGGGTGCTTTCGAAAGGAAAAAAAAAGGAATATTTTCTGGTATTGTACTAACTCAACAAATAACTGAGGAAACAAATACCCTTGTAGAGTTCAAATGTGTGCAACGTGGTGTTTGTTTCATGCTTAGCAACTATGTTCTCTCTCTTTCCTCATATATTTACAGACTGAAGTATTCAAAGACTAGCCTCAACATGATAAAAGTTTAGATTGATGCATCCCGCACAGAGGAAGGAAAGGTGTATTATACTCAGGCATGAAATATTTACCTAGCGCATCAATTTAAAAGCAAGAACAGAATGTTCTACAACTTGATGATATAAAATTACGCACATCATGGTATACAAAGCAAGGCATTTATTTTGGAGATTCCTCATATTGTATTCTATTGTGTTTATATTAAAGCCTTTATAGAAACATTCAAGACTGTATTTGTAATTGTTATTCCATGTAATAAATGTTGAACATCAAAGGAAACAAAAAAGTTCTGTTGCTTATTTTAATAACCAGACTGTATGGTAGAATTGGCCAACTGGGACTTCCTAACCAGCCGAGATATAGGAAAACTGCATTAGGGTTCCTGGTCAAAATCCATAATTAATACCTAATAAAATAACACTATGATTAATCAGGATTATCATCCTCAGTGAACTAGCCATTTTCCTCCAGTTTAACCTTCTTCTTGGGACCTCTGTGAAGACCAAAGAAGTATGCCATCCGCTTTTTAAAATTCTTAAATTTCTTGGTTGTGATTGTTTTAATGAAGCTTGGGCCAGACATCCTCAATCAAAATATTTGTGCTTGCGATGCATTAAATAATGTAATGATTGGACTTTTTTCACATTACTTGAGTTAAAGAGAGAACGGATACATTCCCTGTTCCATAGTGTTCAAATAGAATTATTCCTCTCCAATAAAGAAGGTGAATTTCCACTTGAAAGGTAACTTCTGCACATTTAGTGGAACCTTTGTCTGTCATGCAGATTTTAGAGGCAAAAGAACTGTGCCAAGAGAATTGGTAACCTTGCTTTATACACTTTGATCTGTAGCACAAGCTTACACATGCCCAATTAGAAATAAATCTAATTAAATTTAATTAGTTTTAATTATAGGCAAGTGAGTATAGGATTGTAATCTCAAAGTGGTAGTCTTTCATGAAATACTTAAATAGTTTTGATACCTGGGGATTATGGGAGTTTGAATTTCAAGATATATGAAATGCTCTAGTTAGAGAAAGTGCATTGCCTAACAGAAAAAAATTCAATTTCAGCTGTAATAATATTGTTCCCTTAACTATGAACCTTGAAAATAATGACTAAATTGTTTATTTTAATAAGCAAAACAACAGTACATTCAGTGAATCTTCTCTATTTTGCGTAACATCCAGCCTGTGTAGTACTTCTTCAGTGTTTAAGATATTTTTTACTGAAGAAAATATAGGCTTCTCACTCAAAGACCAAGTATATAAAAGAAGAAGCTGTTGTGATCCTTTCTTTAAGGCAGTGGTTCTCAACCTTCCTAATGCTGCGACCCTTTAATATAGTTCCTCATGTTGTGGTGACCCCCAACCATAAAATTATTCCTAAAACCATTGAAAATATGTGTTTTCCGATGGTCTTAGGCGACCCCTGTGAAAGGGTCATTCGACCCCCAAAGGGGTCCTGACCCACAGGTTGAGAACCACTGCTTTAAGGCAAGTACAGGCATTGGTAATCAGGGCTGTTATTTCTGATCTGACTTCTGGAATGTCCCAATGATGCTGATTTTCTAGTAGCACACACAACTGTGGTACAACATAGAATGAATCTCAACATTGCATGATCACTAAAAGTCAGTTTCTCAACCTTTTTATCCTGGAAGAACCCTTGAAATAATTTTCATGACTCAGGGAGCCTGCATAAAAGTGATATCTTCAGCTAGCATTGGGTAGCAGACCGACAGCTGACACATGGTTCCAATACTACAAGCAGAGAACCCTTAGTGACTTCTGATGGAGTTGAGAAACGCTGGTCCATGTTATGTTATCCAGTGTGAGTTGTTACTAAAAAAATTACCTTGATAATTTCATCCTGAAAAAGAAGTAAAGTTACATCCTACCATCTTCTTGTTTGCTTACTGTTTTGGAGTACCAGCATTTCATTCCTGTTATGCTACTTTACATATTTAAAAAAAAAATTCAGACCTTTCTGAATTAGTACATTTTTACTTAAAGTTCATTCATTGGATTGAGTGGTAATTGACTTCATCACAACTTTTTCTTTTGGGAGATAACACCACAGTGCCCATTAAAACATCTGGCAAACTAACTTTATGTTGAGAAGTCTGGAAAGATGGTATTCTTCTCTCCCACCCACCCATCCCAAGACTTTCCTTATATAATATTTTTTATATATAACGGCAGAAGTGGGGAAAACTAGTTCATACTTTTGCCACTCTAGCACAGACATTTGCTTTATTCTTCTTTATTGACAAGACCCAACAATAACAGATTTTACTTGACTGGGCAGCACAGTATTAGTCTTGTAAATACTATGGTAGTATTTAAGCAGAAAAGAAGAGCAAGTAGAGTTAAGTAGGAACCTGCATGAAGATCCAAGCTCTTTTCATTTGATTTTTCCTAGAGCTGTCTCAAAACAAGGTCTTTGGTGGGAAGGTTCAGAACTTCCTAATTAGCCAGGCTAGAACTGATTAGTGTTCAGTCTAATCAGTAGAAATTTTCTATTTGGGGGGAGAGGGCTTAAAGTATCTGTTCTCACTCCCCCACAAGTAACTTGTAAATTACTACATAAAGAAAAAGAAAATGCACTTAGTATGGGCAAGGTTTTGGTGACCAAGGACTGCACATAATATTTTAGTAAGGATGCCATGGTCTGCAAAGTAGATGGGATTGCATGATACCTGCGGGTGATACTCAGTTTGGGAGTACATTTATTTATCCTCTAATTTTCATCTGCTCACCCATCAGGAAGTTGGGTCATTAGTTCTGTGTCATTATGATCAAAGAGGTATCCAAAAAGACAATTCAAGCTTTGGGGCTATAAATTACCCCTCCCTGCACTGTCAAATTCAAACCACAGTGGTGTGGAATCTATAGCAAGGTAAATCAGAGTGTATTCTGTTCTGGTTTTAATGTGCTATGTGAATCCTGCCTTTGAATCATGCTCCCATTAGGCCTAGAGCAAAATGTGTCACAGGGAGAATGCAATTAAAAGCTTTCAACTCACAGAGTGACAAAGCACTGCCACAAATCTATGACATTTTCATATACTAATTGTCCATATTACATTGGGGGGAAGGGTTTTGATCAGAAATAAATGGATCAACTGAGCATTACAGTCAACTAACAATATTATCAGATTCCTAGTGGTTTAACAGGAATGTCCGTTCTTCCTTCTAAACTGGGCTGCTAAGATGGAGAAAAGAAATGCAGGTAGATTTTTGTGTGATGGACAAAAATATAGAATACAGAATAATAGAGTTGGCAGAGTCCTTGGAGGTCTTCTAGTCCAACCCCCTGCTCAGTCCCTATACCATTTCAAAGAAATGGCTATCCAGTCTCTTCTTAAAAGCCTTCAGAGATGAATCACCCAAAATTTCTGAAGGCAAGCCATTCTGCTACTCAATTGTTCTGTTAGGAGATTTCTCCTTAATTCCAGGTTGCTTCTCTCCTTGATTAGTTTCCATAGTTTCTTGTCTTGCCTTCAGGTGCTTTGGTAAATAGGTTAATTCCCCCCTTCTTTGTGGGACCCCTCAAATATTGGAACACTGCTATCGTGTCACTCCTAGTCCTTCTTTTCTCCACACTACCCAATTCCTCAAACCGTTCTTCATATGTTTTAGTCTCCAGGCCCTTAATTGTCTTAGTTGCTCTTCTCTGCACTCTTTCCACAGTTTCAACATCTTTTTTATAATGTGATGATCAAAACTGGATGCACTATTCCAGATGTGGTCTTACTAAGGTTTTATATAGCGATACTAACACTTCACATGATCTTGACTCTATCCCTGTGTTTATGTAACCGAGGAGTATACACTGCTGGCTAATATTTAAGTGATTGTCCATTGGGATTCCAAGATCCCTCTCCAGTTACTGCTTTTGAGCCAGGTTTCACCTACATTGTACTTGTACATTTGGTTTTTCCTGCCTAAGTGTAAAACCTTAGTTTTTTCTACATTAAATTTTATTTTGTTGGATAAGGTAAAAGGTAAAGGTTCCCCTCATACATATGTACTAATCGTTCCTGACTCTAGGGAGTGGTGCTCATCTCCGTTTCAAAGCCGAAGAGCCAGCACTGACTGAAGACGTCTCCGTGGCCATGTGCCCGGCATGACTAAACACCAAAGGCGCATGGAACGCTGTTACCTACCCACCAAAGGTGGTCCTTATTTTTCTACTTGCATTTTTTACGTGCTTTCGAACTGCTAGGTTGGCAGTAGCTGGGACAAGTAACGGGAGTTCACCCCATTAAGCGGCACTAGGGATTTGAACCACTGAACTGCCGACCTTTCGATCGATAAGCTCAGCATTTTAGCCACTGAGCCATCACGTCCCAATTTTGTTGGATAGGGCCCAGCAAAACAAAATTCTGGTACTGAAAACTAATGCAAGAGTGAGTATGTTCCATAACATTTAGAGTATGTCTCATTGGTCATTAACCAATTTTTTATCCAGCTGCACTTGGTGAAAACTTGACATAGATCATCATTTCAGCATTGTTTTTCTGAAATTTACATTATTTGGCCATTGCAAAAGTTACTGGGAGAGAATGCTGTTTCATGAATGTAGTACTATCAGCAGAAGTACCATGTTAAGACTGAGGCCTCACCCGAATCTTTTACCAGCCTTAAACTAAAAAAGCATCCCCCCCCTCTTTTAAATTGGAATAACAAATACAAAAGCTTTTCTCATCACCAAGGATATTGTCATTGCAGAGGGCAAAGATCAAACTATCTGAGACATCAAATTATCTCTGCTTCAACCAGGCTCTGAATTCACAAGGCTGGGAATTGCAGGATCTGAGAATCAAAGCTGATGTATATTTTAATTTAGGTATGAAAATAAGAGACTAGAGACCACAATAATAGATTTTTATTAGAAAAAGTAGTTGTTCCTTGCTAGGAATGAACTTAAACTATTCATCTTGTTTGATCAATTCATGGCTATGGGTATTTCCAACTCATCCTTTTCACAATCCATTATTTATTGGCATGTGTTCATCGTGTATGAGTCTGTTGCTGTTTAACCACTAAGATATTCTGAATGAGTTATGTAGAATTAAAATGCAAATAGAAAATGGTACAATGCCTACAAACTACACTAAAGCAGTAAGAGAATGATGCAAGAATGTAGACATAATTTATTACATACACATAGAAAAGAATTATATCTTTGAATCACCTGGTGACTTCATGGACATAGAGTATGTCTACAGTCTATAATTTGCTTTATTGCACCATGGAGTAGATTCCTAAAGGCTTCTTCCA